CTAATTTACAGGGTGATAAAATAGGAAACTAACTCTTCCTAAAAAACTAATTTCTATATCAGTGGGATTCTCCAATTAATATCCCATGATTCTAGGATATCCCATGATTCTAGGAAATTAAGTTTCCTAAACTGATGGACCTAAAATTATGGAGAATCAATCAGAGAGTCAATCTTCTACTTTCCAACACCCTATATAGTCGACACTAACACAAATATTAGCTCTTTCTAAGAAGACCTCCTAGAAAAAGCCTCCAATCCTTGGAGGAATAGGTTTACACCAAACCTCCTTAACTGGAGAAGGATAACCCAAACTATTAGAAGGTTGGTTTAGAGCCTTGAAGAACAAGGCACAAGAGAAAACACTAGAGGATGAGGGTCCAGATACGACTATCAGAGTGAGAATGATCCACAAAAACTCCTTCAAGGACCTGAAGCAATTTCAAGACATCATTTTACTTTGGATCCCTTACACCCCTTCACAAACCCAAATCCCAAACAAAGCTACTTCTTGAGTTTGAGGGAAGAGGGAAGGTAAACAAACTCATCTTTGTATCTTGAGAGAGCAAACACAAAAGGAAATTTATCTTTTAGAGAAAGGTTCCCCACCCAGACTTGTTCCCAAAATTTTATATTGATTCTGGAACAAATATCATACCTAACAAAAGGCAAGTATAAAGGCAAAACAACATAGATGGACTTCTAAGGGGAGGCACCAATATCCCTAGCATGCACTTCAGCATCCCAACCGTTGGCCGCAAGCCCATGAATGCTTATCACTTTTGCCTAGAGTTTATCTTTATCCACTGGTAATCTCCACAACCATTTACCTAGTAAAGCCACATTCCTTTGTAGTAAATTATCTAACCCTAGGCCACTAGACTTCTTACTCCTACATACCACTTCCTAGGTTACTCTAAGGTCTCTTCTTCTCCTCCCTTGGCTTCCACAGAAAATCCCTCATCGACCTTTACAATTTTCTCCCACATTCATTGGCATCTTAGGTGCTGTTTGGATAGACTTCTATTTTTGTACTTTTAAAAATATAAAAGTATAAAGTACATAAAATACTTTTACTTTGGTATTTTTGCTTTGAAAATAGTTTGGGTAAAAAATTTGAAAAGTATGCTTTCCAAAATAGAAGTACCATTTTTTGTTTGGCAAAAGCATGTCCATTTGTACTTCCGGTGATGGCTTCCAATGGTTTCGGGGTCTGAGATTGGTGACGGCCGTCTGACTCTAATAGTGGCAAGTGGAGGTAGGGCTGAGAGTTTTATCGAATGGTGGTCACACGTGACCATCCGTTCGCACGACAATGAAAGCACAATTTCGCCAAAAGCATGAAGTATAAAAAGTTGACTTTGTGCTTTTGGGGTTTTTCATACTTTTAAAAGTATAAAAGCAAAAAGTATAAAGTACACAATACAAACGCTATATTGTGTTTTTCGTACTTTTGTACTTTCAAAAGTATGAAAGTACTTTATAAAAGTATCCAAACATGGCCTTAAACACTGACATGTAATAAACAGGCATATTTACTAATGTGGATCTTATCAGAGTGATCCTTCCCCCTAAAGACAAGTAGCTTTTCTTCCAAGAGGCAAGGTTTTTAGCAAATGACTCAACTATAGGATCTCAGAAGCTACTCTTTCTTGTATTGTCCCCCAAAGGCAAGCCCAAGTATTTCATTAGCCATTGAGACAGCTCATAACCAAAAATATTTGCATACTTTGACAACTCTCTCTCATCCATATTAATACCCACAATGCAAATTTTCTCAAAATTCACTTTAAGATTGGAGATCGGCTCAAAAAGTTGAACTGCTAACTCGATATTCCTAATCCACCTTCTATTCCTTCACAAAATAGGATTGTATCATTTGCGAATTGCAAGTGTGTAATTGCTATCCCATCATGACCTACTTTCCACCCCCTAACTAATCCTTGTGAATCCGTCTTAGAGATTAATTTCTCTAGGACCTCGGCAATTAGAGTAAAGCGAAAAGTGGAGAGGGGGTCCCCTTGTCTAATTCCTCTAAGAGCTGGAAAGAAACCCACCACTGTTCCATTCGTGAGATAAGAGTATTGACAAGACCTAATACAACCCATTATCACTTGCACCATCTTTCCCCAAACCCAAAACTCCTCATTACTTCCAACAAGAATGACCAGTCCACCAAGTCATAGGCTTTTTCCAATCCAACTTGCAAATTAATCCTTTCTTTCCTACTCTTTTCAATTCCTCCAGACTTTCATCAGCAATTAGGATCTGATCAGTGATTTGCCTGTTCATCACAAAGGCCCCTTGGTTGGGTGAGATGATTAGAGGGAGGGCTAATCTAATCCTTCAAGGAGACACTAAAACAAGATACCTTGGAATTCCTTTGGCTATCGGTAGAAGCAAAATAGAGATACTTTTAAATATTTTATCTTCAATGTAATCAAAAGTGGATTCCTAGAACGGAGCTATTCTTTTAGTCCCAGGTAGGGAGGTGTTGATAAAGGCATATGATCTTTGTAAAAAGTTAAATAGTGTCATGACAGATTTTTTTTGGGGTCAAAAGAAGTCTGAAAAAAAAAATCATTGGATTGCTTGGAAAAAGTTATGCTGCTTAAATGTGTTGGAAGATTTGGGATTTAGGAATGTTCTCTTTTGGTAAAGACAACTTAGAATTTAATGAAAAATTAGAGACAGAACCTTGGCTATTATTTTTTACAAGCTAGTCATCAAACTAAGTTTTGAGACTGATTATCTTAAATCGAGTATGTTCTTGAATCCAGGTGAATTTTTCTTTCCATCTTCAACTATCCAACATTACCCCCCAAAGATTCAAAGTTTTATTTCGTCCTCTCTCTCTCTCTCTTTGCACTGTTGGATCATCTGGATCTTTTGGTCCTTTTTTTCTGAAATAGTTTAATGTGTGTTGGGTCTGCCTGGATTCAATGGCCAATCTTCTGTCAGCCTGGCATTTTAGGGGTTTGAGCAGGAGAGGGAAGGAGAGAATTTTTGAAGATAGAGCTGAACCTGAAGATGATTTTATTAGAAGCATTGCTTCAACCATTTTCAGATGGTATCTGCTAAACAAGTCTTTCAGCAATGTCTCTTTTTTTCTGATTTGTTCTCAGCTGAGTTGTTCTTTGCATAGAGTCTGGGTGGTTTTGGGAGATTGTCTTTTTTGGGTTTTTCTGCCAATGACTTTTGTTGCTTTTTGTATAGATATATAGATATGGGTTGCATAGAGTTTATCTCTTTGTAAACTCGTGAAAATATTATAATTACAATACTTTTCCCTTCGTGTCAATGAATCTGGAACTATATATGTTTTTTCATTTGACGATACTTCATCTCTTAAAAGGCCATTCTGTCAGACGTGGGTATTGGGCATTTAAAAATATGGAGATACTTATTAGAAAATAACTGTAACTTTTTACCTTTTGCTTTGTTTTAGAACCATTATCTACTGCCTAATCTGGTATTTCTTCATCTTAGAAACAATTTATTTTTAGTACTATGTACTCATATTCTCTATGTCACAATGAATCTTTTGAAGTTGTTGATTAACTGCAGAACCCTTTTTTCATATTGGATTCACTAGGCGGTCATGATCTACGCCTCTAGCACTCTAACATGACATCATTGATCTCTAATGATATTCATGCTTTTGCTGCAGAAAAAGGTGTAAAGAGATTGATTGATAACCTACAGGTCTGTGCCTGCAGTTGTGAATGCTTTAACATGAGAATTTGCTATTATGTAATTGGGATCATCTTTTCTATATGATATATGGTCTCTTCGTCTGTCTGAGTTTTATGGCAGGTTCCTATAGCAGCTGTTGTGGTTATGGCTTGCAGTCGCCCAGATTATTTAGAAAGGACAATTGAGTCCATCTTAAAGTATGACATGTGCTCAAGAGATTTCTTTTTGTCTTCTTCTGTCACAATTCTTTTTCTTTTTTTTTTTTTTGAAAGGTAAAGTTTTGTTGAACAAATACTGAAACAGGATTGTGGGTGGGTGGGGGGGGGGGGATTCCACCGTATCCACCCTAGCTAAAGATACCAGCAAACAAATTACATAAAACAACCTACATCATCAACTAAGATGAAAATTTTCATTCCATACAATATCCCCCATTCCCCCCAGTTATCACAAAAAGGTTTAAGCTTAGACCCCACAAAAGAACTATTGACAGAAGACCATCTGACTACCAGCCTTCACCTTTCCACAAATCTTCTCTGCTGAGGATTGGTCTCCAAAGGTCCTGCCATTGCTCTCCCTCCAAATGCTCCAGCATATTGCCTCCACCCATTGGACTCCGAATAACTGCAATATGTGACTCTTATAGCATGAGAGAAGATGCATTTGACCAGAAAATGTTGAATGTTCTCCTCTGCAGCCCCACATAAGCAACAACGAATCATAATCACCATGCCTTTTGATCTCAGAACATTCATTGCGGGGGATTTTCCCTTTGATTGATGACTACAGGAAATATCTTGGATGAAACTTTTATGCCCCCAAATTGAATACCAAGGAACAACCTCATCTTCAGCACTGACTAAAATTTCATACATTGACCTCACAGAAAAAATTGCTTGAATTGTCTCCTATCCACCAGAGCTGGTCCATTTCTGCTAGCTGAGGCTTCACCCTCTCTACCAAGTAATAACTGCATCAGATCAGCAAGTGCATCAATGTCCCAGTCATTATTTGACCTTCTCAGCTGGGGAACCCACAATGTTTGATTTGAGATCAACTAATAACAGTCACTTATCTTGTTATTTATCTGATCCATTAATTATGTAAAATTCTCATGGCATTCAGGTATCAGAGTTCTGTAGCTCCAAAATTTCCACTCTTTGTATCCCAGGTACTTAATAAGATTTTTTTTTAACGGAGCTTACATAAATATATGCTTTTGCTTAGCACAAAATCATTTCCTTTTCATGGGAATAATCATTATGTTTCTATACTTGCTCTGGACTGAAAGTGTGAGATTGTACAATTAACAGTTTTACTTTATTTTTCAGGATGGAGCAAATGAAATGGTTAGGAGTAAGGCTTTGAGTTACAATCAACTAACATATATGCAGGTAAATCATGAGTATGGTTTTACATAATTACATGGTATAGCCTAGAAATTTCCAACATGATTTCATAGTATAGCCTAGCAACACAATCTGGTCCACCTTTGTTTTCCTGCATGCTGGCTGCACAATAACTCTTTGACATTAGTCCCTCGAAAAATTTATATCTTCTAGTTCATTTAGTATGCTGCAAGTTTGAGCAAGAAACAAAGGCCATCTCTGCGAAACCATATTCTTTCTATGGGCATTTGTTTTCTGGTATCCAGTGTTTGGAAGACATTATGTCATACTTGTGCACAAGTTATGCATAAATTTGCACTGCAGTTGTATGGTATATGCTGTTTGTTGACATTTTCTATCCAAAGATACAATAAGATCAATGCTTAACCCATGGCATTTAGCAGAACAGAATGGTGAAATAGGATTCATGTAGCCAACCTCATATAGTTGGGACAAGATACAGATGATGATGGTGATAACATGACGGGAATGTTCCTTGTCCTTTTATTATTAATTTAAAGATGCTAGCTTGCATTCTAGGGAGACATGAATTTGTGGTTGTTTGCAAATACAATAACTGAAACCACTAAAGCTGGGAATGTTCCTGGCTTGCTAAGAAGGTAAATCTTTCTGAACAACATTTAGCCAAAGGATATTCACTTTATGATAAGCACTAATAATTTAACACTGGATATTCACTTTAAATAGAAGGGATTGGTGAAACAGGATTCATGTAGCTGACCCCATATAGTTGGGATAAGGCATGGATGATGATGATGATCATGATATTCACTTTATGATGTAGGACAGGGTGGGATCCTACAAATTCTAGATCTGGTGGTGTGAAGGAAGGGCTTTGGTTGATTAAGGATGAAGAATATAGGTGGAAAAGCAAGCAAAACACTTGCTGTCCACCAAAGAATAAGCAAAAAACCAGAAACAGAGAGAACTCTTGCTGTTAAGGTAAGCACAAAAGAGATGGATCACTTAGAAGAAGTGAGGGAGAAAATGAGAAAAATTCCTGCAGCAACCAGCATTTACCAAACCATAACTTTATATCCCCAAATCAATTTCTATTTGCTTAGAACTAAGACAAATCTATACGTAACCTATAGTGACATTCAAATAAGGACTCTAACTCCTAAATGACTCTAACAATACTTTTTTATTATTAAAAGTTTTATTGAATATCAAGATTTAAGGCATCCCCTTGGAGAGGTGCGAGGTGTGGCCCCTCCCTACAAAGTTTCACTGAACAACTTATAGTTGAGCCCAAAACAGAACATCCCTATTCACCTCTTGTTTAGCTAAACAATCAGCCCAAGCATTAGCTGACCTCCTCACTCATTGTATTTATTCTCACATTCAAATTCCTTGTTAACCATTTGAATTTCTTGATTTCATTTTGATAGCACCATATTACAGTCTCTGGTTCTTCCAACCATCTCACCACCAACTTAAAATCACATTCATTTGTCAAATGTTCTATATTCAAATCATTTGGAATCTGGACTCCCTGTAAAGCAGCAAGTAGTTCAGATCTAGCAGATTAAAGAATGTATGATGATTAGAGTAATACATTGGATAACTCTAACAACACTTGGCCGATGAAGAGGGAAGATCTTTATGGAGATGTACAAGGACGGCTGTGTGTTGGACAGTTGGGGAAGAAAGGAATTAGAGGACCTTTCTTGATAACGAGAAAAGTAGGGATACCCTAATTGAGGTTATTACAATTACGGTGATCCACTGGGTGAAGTCTCTTGATCTTTTTGAGGGAACCCATGCAGATAATTTGGTAAGGAATTCAAAGGTAGTTGCTGACTCAGCTCCGAGCAAGGCTGTGGTTAGACCAACTTGGTCCCCTCCATGTGGTTTCATTAAAATGAATTCTAATGGGAGTAGTGAAGGAAATCGGGGTCCCTCAGGCATTGGGGTGTCTTTATAAATGAGAAAGGTAGAATCATTGCTGTCTACTCGGGATCGACTGGTGTTGGTGATTCTTTGAGGGCTGAAATTATGGCTGTGCTAGAAGGCCTTCAAAGGGCTAGAGAGCTGAATATCCAGAGATTAGTTATTGAGGGGGACTCAAAGTTAGTTATTGAGTGGTTGCAGAAGGAAGAGGAGGCTGGATGGTCATGGTGATGCTATATAAATGAGAAAAGGAATTAATGGCCGTCTCGAGGAATGGAAATCAATGTGCAATTGGTGAAAAGGGATGCTAATTCGTTTTCTGATCACTAGCAAAGAAGGGGGTGGGAAGTGATCATTTATTTTGGGCTGTATTGTAATTATGTTGTCTGTTTTTGGGATGATTAAGAGAGTTTATCTTTCCCTTTATCACCTTTGTACTGTCTTTATTAATCTAATAATTCAGTTTCTGTTATTCATAAAAAAAAAAAAAAAAACTCTAGCAACACTTTCCTAATCCTATTAAAACTAATTTAATGCAAGGCCACCAGACATTACTAAAATAGTAAATCACTATATTACTATAAATAGAACTCCAAAAGTTACTTACCCTATAGTAATTTTGAAATAACAGCAAAATTTAGGAAACTTGAAACCCATTATTATGACACCTATAACTAGAAAAGGAAAAACTCAACAATATCAATCATCACCCAAAAATGCCAAAATTGGTGTAGTAATTGGAAAACTGATTTAATTCTCCATGGACTCTTTCCTTGTTTGCATAGCTGCATCACTTTGTGAGCCACTTGGAGAATGGATTGCAATATCAATCATCACCCAAAAATACCAAAATTGGTGTAGTAATTGGAAAACTGGTTTAATTCTCGATGGACTCTTTCCTTGTTTGCATAGCTGCATCACTTTGTGAGCCACTTGGAGAATGGATTGTGAACCCTGATAGATAAAGGGATTTATCCTTAAAGAAAGGAGCAGAAGGGCAGTTATAGAGGTGATCACTTTCCTAATCCTATTAAAACTAATTTAATGCAAACCCACCAGACATTACTAAAATAGTAAATCACTATATTACTATAAATAGTAACTCCAAAAGTTACTTACCCTATAGTAATTTTGAAATAACAGCAAATTTTAGGAAACTTGAAACCCATTATTAAGACACCTATAACTAGAAAAGGAAAAACTCAACAATATCAACCATCACCCGAAAATGCCAAAATTGATGTAGTAATTGGAAAACTGATTTAATTCTCCATGGACTCTCCTTGTTTCCATAGCTGCATCACTTTGTGAGCCACTTGGAAAATGGATTGCGAACCCTGATAGATAAAAGGATTTATCCTTAAAGAGAGGAGCAGAAGGGCAGTTATAAGAGGTGATCACTGCAAGGGTGGTTCAGTGGTTGAAATCTTTGGCTACCTTTGATGATATTCCTACATTGATTCTGCTGAATAGTTGGAAGTGGCAGAATCAGCTCCAAATAAACAGGTATCCAGCCCGGTGTGGTCTCCCCCAGATGCAGGTTTCATAAAACTTAATTTTGATGGTAGCAGTGAAGGCAACACTGGGCCTTCTGGGATTGGAGGAGTTTTCAGAAGAGAGGATGGTGCTGTAATAGTAGTCTTTTCAGGATCAATAGGAGTTGGTGACTCCTCCAAGCTGGAATTCTAGCTGTGTTGGAAGGTGCCAAAAAGGCTAAGGAACTGAATATTAGTAGGTTGATTATTGAAGGAGATTCCAAAATGGTGATAGACTGGCTAAAAGAGGAGGATGGCATGTGGCAGTTTATTAATGAAAGAAGGCAATTAAAGTGGCTACTTCAGGGCATGGGAATCAGATTAAAATGGGTCAAAAGAAGTGCAAATTCCTTTGCATATGTAATGGCCAAACAGGGAGTAGGAAGGGCTCAAATGTTCTGGGCTACCTTGTAATTTTTCTGTTTTATTTTGGGGGAGAGTCAAGAGAGTTCACCTCTCCCTGCTCCTGTAACCATTTCACTTTCTTATCTTTAATACATTGATTTATGTTATCATTAAAAAAAAAAAAAAAAAGATTTATCCTCAAAAAGGGTTTCCACCTCCCTGGTGAAAACACCAAATCTAGGGTTTGAACTGTCATTCATTTGTGGGATCTACTGCATTCAATGATAATGCCACAAGTCCTGGTCCAGATTGTCATTCTCAAAAAGAAAGAGGAAAAAAGGCATGCAACAGGGATTCCCTGGAAACTGCCGATAGAAGATGGCAATGAAATATGTCTAGTGAAAGTTTTATGACTGATGTTTAAATGCAAAACTATGTATGCTATGAGATTGATTTGAATGTCATAAACCATTTCTATCCCTTGGCTGACTAATGTTTGTTCATTGCAGCACTTGGATTTTGAACCAATTCATACTGAGAGGCCTGGAGAATTGATTGCATATTACAAAATTGCACGTAAGCATTACTTTCTTCTTTATTTTAATTATTTAACTGCCAACATTGAAAGCACTTCTTTTTCCAGGTCACTACAAATGGGCATTGGATGCATTGTTTTATAAGCATAATTTCACTCGAGTAATTATCTTGGAAGGTACAGAAGTTATTAGTTATTTCATATTGTCATGCCTGTATGCGATGCAAAACATGTTAAAGTAAGAAATTTTAATACTAATTACAGATGACATGGAGATTGCGCCAGATTTTTTTGACTATTTTGAGGTTGCAGCATCTCTCCTTGACAGAGACAAGTATGTCTCTTGGGTGAACTGAAGCTCTTATATGGTTATTTTTTGTTTTCTTTTGTATGCATGCACCTTTATTTTCATTTTTAAATTGAGGTCTATAATTGCCAATTCTAAATGTTCTTCTATTCTTTATGTTGTACCATGAAAGGACGATAATGGCTGTTTCATCATGGAATGACAATGGACAGAAGCAATTTGTTTATGATTCAAGTAAGTTTGTTGTGGTAAAAAGACACTTGTAACTGTCAGTTATCATTATCTAACTTTGAACATGAATCTCTCCAATATATTCAAATTTATCATAACTAATTCTCTGTGAACCATAACATAGAGAATTTCTTATGACATTAAATTTTTGTTTGAACTAAGGGTTTTCCATGTATAAATCAGTCACTGCAGAATTTCTGAAGGATCTACTTACTATTGGACTTGAACTTGAACTGCAAAATGGTGCAATGTTAGCAAAAGAAAGGGTGATGGAGAGACTCAATTCTTGGTCCATCCAGGCCCTGTAGCAAAGAGCATGTTAAGCAATGAGTTGATGTATATTGCTCTCTCTGGTTGCTGGGGATTGGCTTTGTAGCATGTCTCTCTTTTCTACCCAAAGAAAAAAAAAAAGATCATGTTAAGGTCTGACAAAATAATAGCATACTCGGTGGCCTTCTTGGTGTGTTTTTATCTGGCACTATTAAATAAGCATGTGGCTGCAGTTTTATCATATAGATGGGCTAGTTGATGGATTGACTTCTGTGCTTCTTCATTTAACATGAAGTTTCCTTTTTTCAAGTACAATCATTAGTCATTGCTGGTTAGTTTTGTGTTTGTATCACCCCATCTGAATACTTTGATTAACTTGTTTGTTTATCTTGGAAAACCATGATGCTGAACCCACAAATTATGACTAACCGTGATTTTGAGAACAAAATGTCATCATTTGTGTTTATCTGATCTGCTATCCAATAATTTTTGCAGAAATTCTTTACCGCTCAGATTTCTTTCCTGGGCTTGGATGGATGCTGACAAAATCTACATGGGATCATCTATCACCAAAGTGGCCCAAAGCATATCCTTCTTGCTTTACTATGTTTCGTTTTTTTGAGATCAAACTTTCAGATTTGTCCTATTTCTGTTCAAGCTTTTCTTTTTCCTTGACAAAACCTTACTTACTGGGATGATTGGCTGCGGTTAAAAGAAAACCATCAAGGTCGGCAGTTTATTCGCCCAGAAGTGTGCAGAACATACAATTTTGGTGAGCATGTAAGTACATTCCTTGAGTATTTAATGATTGAGCTTTAAATTGGTTGTAGAGTAATATCCACCAAGTTCCCAATGTTGGGCTTACTTTTCCAAATTGAGGATTATTAGAAAAAACTAAAATATCTTTCAAATGTTTATTGCTATCTTTATCTTTCAAGGCTTGGCAGATTTGTTGAGGTTCAAGGTGGGACAGCTACCTTCAGTTTATTTGGAGTTGCCTTTGGGTGCCAAATGTACTTCTAAAACCATTTGGAACCCAATAATAGAGAGAATGGATCAGAAATTGTCTACTTGGAAAGCAATGTATCTCTCCAAAGGGGGGAAGATAACTCTTATTAAAAGTGCCCTAGCAAGTTTGCCAACTTATTTTGTCTCTTTTTCCTATCCCCTCGGAGGTGGTGGAGGTTTTAGAGAGGAAGATGAGAGATTTTTTGTGGGCAGGTTGGAAGGATTCACACAAATACCATCTTGTAAAATGGAGTCAGATTTGTAAGCCCCTATTTCAAGGGGGGTTGGGGATACGAAGTCTAAGATCTTTCAACCTAGCTTTGCTAGGACGCTGGCTATGGAGGTTTGATGTTGAGCCTGATAACCTCTGGAGGAAAGTAATTGCAGAAAAATATGGGCTGGATGACAGTGGTTGGGGTAGTGGTCCACCCTTGTCGACTTACGGTTGTAGTCTGTAGAAAGGAATATGCAGAGCTTCTAGCCTGTTCAGGAGAGTCGGCTTCAAAATTGGGGATGGGAGAAGGATCAGGTTCTGGTTGGATCCCTGGACTGGGGAGAGAACTCTTAGGCTATGTTTGGTTTGAAGGAAAAGGTAGGGAAAAGAAGGGAAGGGTAGGAAAACCAATACAAGGTTTGTAAAGGTTTCCTTACCTTTCCCTTCCTTTCCATACTTATTCGTTCAAACCTGTTCGTTTACTCTGAAGTCTGACATCTGAAAGTGCAATAATTACAATAAGAGGTATATTGGTATTGGTGAACCTTTCTTTCCTCTGAACTCTGAATGCAGAGAATGTTGTTCTGAATTCTGAATTCTAAAGATTATCAAATATCCATTTTGACCCCATATCTGAGAGTTTTTGTTTGTTTTTTTTTGGGGTATCATTGGAAAACAAAAAGTTGTATGATTGCACTTTAAAGAATAAGAGATAAGAGGAAACGAACAACCATTTTTCTCTTAAAGTTAAAAGATTCGTCTTAAGAGATGAGATTTAAGAGGAAACGAACAGGCCTTTAAGGAACTGTTTCCCAGCCTGTTCAGTCTGGCTGTAGATAAAGAGGCATTGGTAGTTGATACCTTTGTATTGAGGGACAATCCAACAATGCTATATGCTGGGCTCCAGCCTTTAGAAGGGATTTCAATGACTGGGAGATTCAGCAGGTTGGAAATCTCCTAGCTTCGCTTCAGTCTCAGGTGTTGAATCTGCAATCAGAGGATTCCTCAATATGGAGATGGAACAGAAGTGGAGAGTTTTCAGTTAAATCCTTCTACAACTCCATAGTGGGAGGGCCTGAAGCAGTCTTTCCTAGCAGGGCTATTTGGGGGACTGTGGCACCCTCCAAAGTCAAGTTCTTTGTTTGGGTGGCAGCTTTAGAGAAATGTCTCTCTAAAGAGATGTTGGTGAAGAAAGGTTTTAATTATAATGATCTGAGGTGTAGTCTCTGCGGTGCATTTACAGAATCAACAAACCATCTGTTTTTACACTACAAGTTTGTTACAAAAATCTGGAACCACTTCTTAAGAAGTTTGAGGTTAAGTTGGTGTATGCTGGCCTCAGTTAAAGCTGGCCTGGAGGGGGTGGCAGATCCAAGGGATGACAAAAAAAGGAAAGACGTGCTGGTCTGTTACTACCCTAGCTCTTCGGAAGAAGTCATCAATTCGGCTTTAGGCTTTGTTAGAAATTGGTTGTCTATTCTTGCTGACTTGAAAGAGGTTACTTCTGACTGTAATTTTTTGAGAATGACCTTCTTTTGAGGTCATGCTGGCTTTTTGCACAGCTTCTCATTGTACAAAGGACTTTTTCATTAATACAATTATGCTTTACCTTTTGCTCAAATATTTAATAATAATAATAATTATTATTATTATTATTATTATTATTATTATTATTATCATTATTATTAAAATTAAGTGCATTCCCTTGTACGGAAACATTAGTCTCTTGAATATCAATAGAAGTTCATTTCATAGTTATAAAATTGGATTGGTCTTTCTTGATGGAAGTAGTGAGAAGTTGTGGTTTTGGAGAGAGTGGTGTAAATAGATTATGGGATGCCTGAGGACCTTCCATTATTCAGTGCTAGTGAATGGAACTGTGGTAAACTTCTTCCCTTCAATTTGAGGGATCAGGCAAGGTGACCCACTTTCTCCCTTTCTCTTTATCCTCATTGTAGAGGTTCTAAGTAGATTAATGTGTAGGGCTGATTAAAGACACCTAGTGAGAGGGTGGAGAATAGGCATAGATGGTGTGCCAATTACTCACTTGTAGTTTGCAAATGATACGATTCTATTCTGTGAAGGAGGCGGTATGAGGTGGGTTAGAAACCTAAAACTAATTGTGCAACTCTTTGAACAAATGTCAAACCTCAAGGTAAACTTTAATAAGAGCTACATAGCAAGGGTTAACTTGATAGAAAGAGAGGTAATGAAATGTGCAGCTGTTTTGGAGTGTACTGTCTCCCAATGGTGATTGAAATACCTAGGTTTACCCTTGGGGATAACCCAAAAACTTCAACCTTTTGAACCCTGTGTTAGAAAGATTCATTAAGAGGTTTGCTTGTTGGAAGAAGGGTTACTTCTCACTAGGCGGTAGCATTACTTTGGTTAGGTGTACTCTAGCTAACCTTCCAGTGTATTATTTGCCTGCATTTAAGGCTCTAGTAGGTGTGGTTCTGAGATTAAAGAAGATAATGAGAGACTTCTTATGGGAGTCAAGGGAAGCGAAGAGGGACCATAGGTTAATTGGGAGTTGGTTAGCTGAAGTAAAAGGTGTGGTGGACTTGGTATTAGAAATATTCAAAAGAGGAATCTGGCTTTGCTAGGGAAGTGGTTGTGGAGGTTGCCCCTAGATAGGGATAAGTTGTGGACAAAGGTGGTATTGAGCATTCATGGGCTGTTGGCAAATGGTTGGGATGCTTGAATATTGACTATGGCTACCTGAGCTTCTCCTTGGATGGCCATTCATGATATCCTACCTTCTTTCATCCCCTTTGTTAGGTATGATCCTTGTGTTGGGGAACTTATTAAATTTCGGTAACATATTTGGGTGTGAAACTCCCTTCTTAAGGAACAATTTCCCTCTTTATTTGCACTTTTTGGCTTCAAAGATGGCACTTTCTTGTTAAGTGGGATCAGGTCTGCCTACCTGTGGAGGATGGTGGGTTGGGAATTAGGAAGTTGAAGGTTTTCAACTCTTCTCTCCTCAGTAAATGGCTTTGGAGGTTTAGTGTTGAGAGGAATGCTTGGTGGAGGACCCTAATTGGTTCTAAATATGGGGTGGACTGGGGTAATTGGAAATCTTTGGATCCCTTTCAGAGCTGGGGGTGTTCACTCTGGAAAGGAATTTTGAAATCTTTCCTGACTTTTTCTGATGGCCTAGCTCTCAAGATTGGTAGGGGAGACAGGTTGAAGTTTTGGAAGGATTCCTGGTGTTTAGACACCTCCCTGGCTGATGCAGAATCCCTGTCAAGTTCCAATCCCCAATTTTACCAAGAACTGCCTAAACCTGAACCAACAACCAAAAAGATCCAAACTATAGAAACGAGCTCCTATTATTGGCAATAATGATGGACACGTTTGCTGCCATAACCCAATTTCATCCAAACCTGTTGGGTTGTAACTATAACTCCTTGCTTCTTTCTCCTAATAAGTTATTTTACCTTGAAATGCTCAATTCTTTTGCTTCTTAACTATGATGTTGGTATTTTTTTCCAAGATTTTGATTTGTTAACTCCTAAGGTAGAATTTAATTGCAGGGTTCCAGTATGGGACAGTTCTTCAAACAATATCTTGAGCCTATTAAGCTGAATGATGTCCAAGTAAGTTGCAATTCACAATGTTTCACCAGTTTTTTTTTTTTTTTGTCTGAACAATTCATGTGATATTTATGTTATTTGTTTCCATTATATTCTCTATGAAGGTTGATTGGAAATCCATGGATCTAAGTTATTTGATGGAGGTAAACATACGCACCAATGTGATTACCTGAAAGGATATATTTGCTCTGCTTTTTTTCACACTGCATATACCTTATTTTTTCAATTTACAGGACAATTATATACGGCATTTTGCCAACATGGTGTCTAATGCCAAACCTGTCCATGGAGCTGACATTGTTTTGAAGGCATATAATATTGATGGTGATGTGCGCATTACATACAATGACCAAGCCCATTTTGAAATGATTGCACGCCAGTTTGGGATTTTTGAAGAATGGAAGGTAACAATTTGTATTTTCATCTCCTTTTGTCTTCTCTCTCTCTTGTAATCTTGGTAAATAAGGCCTTTTTTTGTTCCAACTGCCAAATGCTCAGATGTTCTTGTTAATAATAAAAAGTCATTACCCAATGTTAGTCCCAGCTATCTGGGGTCCTGGGAGGGGTGAACTGGATATGGACCTCACATTTGGCCTTTTTATTCTATGCACATAGTGGCTGCTTTCAGACTTGAATTCATGTTCTCATGCTTATCAGTCTCAGACGTTCTTGTTAACAATAGAAAAGAAAAAAAAAAGGCTTGTGAAGTTCAAATGAGGATCAAACATGCAAGGATCAAAACATCGATACAAACCGTTACCAAAAATTGGGTACCAGTGCATATCGATAGGCTGATACTCTTTTTTTTTTTTAATAATTTTAACAGCTTGAGAAGGATGCATTCTGTCATCCCAAATTCTCAAAAACCCCAAAGCCCAAAGCCCAAAGCCCTCTGGTATTTTGGTGTATCCATGAGTCCCCATGACCTTCAATATGTATAAGATATGCCTGATATGGGGCATATCGTATCAATATTTTGATCCTTGCAAAGATTTTAAAGTTCAATTTTGGATCTTGTTTTTTACCTGGTCTAGACCAAAACTTTAATATTTTTAATGACAAATATTTCTGTGGTGCTTCAATCAACAAACCTTAAAGTTTGGGTACAAATTAAAGTTGCATTTAGTGATCAGTGGTAGCTCTGACCGACCAATTTTTCTTAGAAAAAAAAATCACTTAGTGGTCTTTTTTCTGTATTATAAGTCTTTGAAAAGCCACTAACACCACACAAAAAGTCAATTCATTTTCTTGCACAATGAATGAAGTCCATTTCCTAAAGTACCTGTTGTGAATTTGTTTATTCTCCTTGAGGAGTTATTTTTGATGCATCTGCTGTCTTTTCTTGACAAGTAACAAAGTATTTCATTAATATAATTTATGAAAATGTACAGAAAAGGGCATGATAAGATCTTTATAGTTTACCACCCTCAGAGCCTGAATAGGACACTTTTTGATGTTTTGGATTGACTCGGCCGTTTAGCTATCAAATTCCGTCAATGTTGCAAGAAAATCATCCCATTGGTGTCCTTTCTAAGAAATCTCACCGTTTCCTTGGTAGCATAACCTAATATTACCTTTCTATGTTAAGGTTTTTCATAATTTTGTTTCTTCTCTTTCCCTTTCCAGGATGGTATTCCAAGAACAGCATATAAAGGAGTAGTTGTCTTCCGGTATCAAACTACAAGACGTGTATTCCTTGTGGGTCCTGATTCTCTAAAGCAGCTTGGAATACAACATACCTGATGGCAAAGGAAGTAGTGTATTCTCTGGCAGTAATTTCTGGATTGATTGATTTATTCATGAGAAAGAATGTGTACAGCTCAGTACCTTCATCTCTCTTTTCAACGTTATAAAAGCTAAACTCAGTAGCTGTGGTAATTGAGAGATTCACTTAAAGGAAAAGATAGAAGCATGAAGGAAAGTACATTGTGTGGGAAGAGATTGTCAAGTTCTGGCCCTCTAGAAAGCAAGGGCCAGAAACAGTAATCATGTTCTCCAGTTATACATGTGTATCAATCACGTTTAAGAGCACATCAAACATCTATACCTACGAGCTATAAGAATGGATTTTTTTTTTTCCTGGCAACCTATAGAAATGGATTCTATTTATGTAATTATGTTGATGGCAGGTTCCAATAACCATGTTCTGGGGGAGATGACTCTTTCAGCCTTACTCTTATATTTTTTCTTTGTTGCACGCCTTTTTGCCTTGTACACAGTTACACACTATATGTTGCATCAATCTTTTAATTTCTTCTGCTGAACGTACCAAGTCACGCAAAGCTCTGCTAAATCCAAGGTTCAAAGTATCTATACGTATCGGCCATACAGGCCGATATGAATCTTATCGGGAGAACTGCAATATGCCCCTACAGAGGGTGTCGGGGTTCTCACCGGTTCAGGAGGCGGAGGAGCCTTAAACCGCCCCCCCTGAACTGGTTTTGAAAAAAAAAATAAAAAATAAATAAGAAAATGACTGATATGCCCCTACCGACATATTGGGTGTATCGATATTTAGAACCTTGGCTAAACCACGGATTGCAATTTAACGGTTTCATACTCGGTGATAAAGATACTGGTTCCAAACAATTTACTGGATTTTTCTCAGTTTGATCTAGGAGATTTCTACCCGTATTGAAAAAAATGGGACCAAACACTAAATCCAAAATTGCTACCTTTACAAACACATGTTCCACGGGAACATGTACTGAAAGGTTTCTTAGCGCGCTCTGAGATGTACTGTAGGGTTTTTCACCCGTTGTTTAGCTAACCCATCAGCAAAGTTGGTACTACTTTTAACCCAAATCACTGTCATTTTGTGTTAGTCACTTGATTTTTTTCTTTTCATTAGTATAGGTCTACAGTCCATTCGTCTTCCTTCATCAGTTCACCCATCCCACCGCCAGTTTGAATTCTCCTTCTATAATCAGTTTAATTCCTTATCTCTTTATACACCTAAAGTTGCTCAGCCCTAAGAAAATCCACCTACTCCAATTGGTCCCAAGAAGAGAGTATGCCCGAGGGCTTTGGATTTCCAACACTGCTTCTATCAAAATTCAATTTGATAAAACCACAGGAAAAGGGGTCCAAAACGGGACTGAGCCTCCTTAACCAAGGTTGA